GGTAGGCGTGAGTAGGTACATACTGTTCACTGTTTCCCTCAGTGCATTCCTGAAAATTGTATCATGAAAGGAACAACCTAAACCTTCCTTATGTTCACTTGTATAAGTATTTATGGGAGCTACGTTTTTGTCAGGGGATTTGACATCAAATAAAACATAGCAAGGTTCAATGTCTGTCATAACCACAAGGAAACATCATTTACATATCTACAGTTTTAGGTAGTATGTTTGTTATCCATGTTCTTTAAAAGAGACATGTATGAACTATTGAAGTTAATTATATGAAGGTCCAGGTTACAATGAAGTACAATAATGTTGAATAATAATAATAGTAGCTAATATTTATGGATGGCTGATCAAGTTCAGATATATTTCTAAGAACTTTACATATATCAACTATTTTATCCTCACAACACCCCTATAAATCAGTCTTACTATTACTCCTTTTTCACAAATGAGGAAACTGAGGCTGAGAGATTACCTAAAGCAATCAGCTTTTAAGGTGTAGGCATGCTTCAAATCTAATCAGGCTGGCCTCAGGGACCCTGTCTGTTTTCATTATGATAGTGTTCACTGAGTTTTTATTGTGTGTCTAACACTGTTGTAAGCAATTTACGTGCATTAACCTATTGAACTCTCACAACAAACCTATGAGATCAATTTTACATTATTCCGTTTTTCAGATGAGAAATCTGAGTAAAGGCTGGTGAAGTAACATATCCAAGGAAACCTAACTAGTAAACACTGGAGCAAGAGTTCAAACTCACATACACTCCAGAGGCCATACTCTCCACACCATACAAAGGCCTTACACCAGGGGTTAGCAAACTATGGCCAACAGGCCAAATCTGGCCCTCCACCTGCTTTTGGTAAATAAGGTTTTGTTGGAACACAGTCTTTTTCATTAATTTACATATTGTCTGTGGCTGCTTTCATGTTACAACAACAGAGTTGAATAGTTGTGATAGAGGGCATATAGCCCACAAGCCTAAAATATTTACTATCTGACTCTTTACAAAAAAGTTCACCAACACCTGCTTTAGATCGTAAGTGCTCTGTTCTCAATCTTTGATTCATTCCTCTATCACCCTGTTTCTAGCCAGTGCTCTACCTCCAGAAAATAACAAGTAACGATAATCGTAACATTTCCATGTAGTTAGAAAATGACTAAAACAATAATCAGTTCTTTAGAGACTTCAAAATGCATCTTAACCAATATCCAAGACAGAAATAAGACAACATTCTGCCTGGATTCTGCTCTTATTGCTATCTAAAAAAAAGAAAGGGAAATTGATATTCTGAGCTAACTCTATTGAGAGGCATGGACTCTGGAGACAATCTGCCCAAGTTCATAACCTGGCTCTACTTCTTCTTGCTCCCTGACCTTAGAAGTAACTTAACTTCTCTTTGCCCCAGTTCCCCATTTGCAAAATGTATAAATAATGGTAGACTGAATTGAACGGGTATTGTGATCATTAAATGAGTTAATGCATGTGATTTTGGAATCAGGGGCTGACTTCTAGAAAGTGTTTGTTATTATTCTTTTTCTTCACATTTTTTCAAAAGACTGATTCAGAAATAAGCAGAATGGTTAAAGGTGAGACCTGGGTATACTGTGGAAATTCCCAGTAAAATAAAAGCCTATAAAAACCTGTTGCTGTTGAGTTGATTCTGGCTCATAGCAACCCTATAGGACAGAGTAGAACCGCTCCATATGGTTTCCAAGGAATGGCTGGTGGATTGGAACCACTGACCTCTCAGTCAGCAGCCGATCTCTTAACCACTGTGCCACCAGAGCTCCGAAAAAAAAAAGCCTATAGAACAAGATAATCAACAGTTATTAAATATTTTTCTACATTTATTATTTATAGAGTGCTCAATAAAAATATATGAATATGAAGTCAATGCCTTCTAACAACTTGAAGTATAACGCAAGGCTCATACTATTAACACGAAAGAACAAAATAAAGAGCCTATTAAGTGCAGCATGTGGCACATCAGAGCAGAAGCCTTATGAAGACAAGATTTCAGGAGGGTTGCTGCTCACCTAGTTTCCCCTACAGCACCAAAGCATCTTAACTGAAGAGTAGGGTCTTCTAACTATTTTAAGACTATTGTTTCATGTGGTACCCAGCTTTGACATATACCCTGACAATACCTAGAGGGGTCTTTAACTCAGGGTTTAATCATCACCAAATGGCTTAAACATTTATCAGGGATATCAGTGATCATCGCCAAGCTCTATAATGAGAATTACTGATGATTATAATACACACAATACTGGGAGATGGTAGATAAGGTCATGAGCTTCAGTGCTAGAAAGCTTTGGACTCGAGTTTGGCCTTCATCCTTTACCAAATACAGTTTGCATAATTTACATAATTTCTCAGCTTCTGTTTGCTTAGTCATAAAATAGCAATAGTAATAGTATCAAGATCAGTTAATCACATATTGGACAAATATGTTGTATAGCTACTATGTGTCAGTCACGGTTTAGATGTTGAGGATACAGCTATGAACAAAACAGACATAAAGCCTTACCCTCAGGAGCTTCTATTTCACTTCTGAGAATCAAGCATGTAGCACAAGGTCTGGCACACATTAAGTTTTCAAACAGTGTTAGTTATCATTACCACTGATGGATGATAATGATAATGATTACAAATGCCAGTTCCTCAATATAGAATTGGTAATAACACCGAACTGCTGTATCTGGGGAAATATTTCTGGTCCAAGGCCCTTAACTTGTGTTCCCCATCTTGGTCATATCCTATACAGATTGAGCTGAGCTGGAATGTGCAACTCTTGATTAAGGATTTTTATCATTATGACTCAGTCTTTGATGATGGGCTTATTCAATGAATAACTCAATAAAAGGTCTTTATCGACTGATTGCTATCAGAGTCTTAAGTTCTATCCTACATGTGCTGGAAATATTTCTGCTCACTTAAAGTCCATTTCATGGATGAAGTGAAATATTATAGTCTTTGAAGAGAAGAATATTGGTGCCTGATTGAAATTTTTGCAGAGTAATTTAAAAAAAAGCAATTTACAGATGAGAGAGATACAGAAAGGAGCCAGTGTTAGAAAAGGAATATAAGGGCAAAGCAACAAGCGAGTATGATCAGGAGGATCAGTTGATGGAGAGTGGAGCAAGTGCAGGTGGTATGGAGGAGGCCCCCAAGTGGAGGGGATGAGGAGAGTACAGGAAAACACTTATAAAACTGATTAGCCACCAGTGGGTTTTGTGTTTATATTTTTTCCCTTCTACAAATAGCTCCCTTCACAAAAGTCATTTTGGAAAGTTATCTTTCAAACTTTATAAAGACATCAATGATTTTAGTTATCTTCACTTAAAGAGGGTAATTTTTCATCTAGTCAAGTGTGCATGTGTCTGCCAGGAGAGCTATGAGCCAACATACATCATACTCAGTAGCTTCAAGGATTTGGTTTGCCTTCTTGTGTGTATTTGAATTTAGAATTCATTCCAATCTGACATTTTTTACCTCTCATCATATTTTTCATCTAATTAAGTTCTATAAATGTATCCTCTACCCAGTTTGAGCTGTAATAAATTCCTTTCCTGAATTGGCCTTCAGAAAGTCACAAACCAACATTATGATGAATTGCAAAATGAATAATTTCCCTTCCACTGTGTTTATTCTGAGCAGCAAAGTTCTGGAGAAAAATGAAACAATGTTTCACTAGAAAGAAGGCTCTGCTCATTGTGTATGTGGCTATGAGCGGGCTGCTTACAACACTAACCCAGCAGATTTCCAAAAGCTTAGGTATAATGCAGTAAAATAATTTTTTAGTTCATAATGTTGGTGTTCAATAGTATTAATGGAAAGGATCAATAATGAGAAAATTTTTTATTTTCATGTAAGCCCTGGAGTTACCCATAAAGGTATATATTGGGGCCATTATTTCTTTGGGAAAACTAAAGTCCGTACTGTAGAAGAAAGGATCAAGGCTACTAACAGAATGGACTGTATGAGAAATGAATGTGCAATTTCTATTTTTTAAGTCATTATTTGTTTTACTTCACTGCATAGGCTTGTAAATGTATTATGTGTCTGAGTTAAGATAACCAAGTTGGAAACAGAACAATTTGTTGCTAATGTTTAGGCTATTTTAATAGGTGCTTAACATTGGACACATTTGTTCCCATCACATCATAAGGCATAGACAAAACTCTATATAAATAAGATCAACGCATTGCATAGATAAAATACCAGACATTAACCCTGTAGACTCTTGATTTTAGAATAGGTTAGCTCCAATTATTTAAATCACCAAAATTATTATAGTCTGGTGCAAATAATAGTGCTTAATGTGTTAATCATTATTTTTACCTACTCCTTTCTCATTTCCCTCTATGCCTTTACAGAGTGGGAATTGCCTTATGTAGCCTGAATTCATTACCGTAATTTGTGTACTGCGCATTGATTGAAGCCAGTTTAAGTGGTATATTAGCACAGAATTTGAGTTTCTTCACTTTGTGTAGATAGTGCGCCATGGAGTTAATGTTTCATCTATAGTATTTATTACAGAACTGTGATAATGTGATTATGGTTCCTGTTCCTTTCCTGGATAATGCCTGGTTTAAGACATACTTTGGTCTGAAAAGAATTTTTATTTTCTACAATATGTAGAGCCACTGGCCCAAATATCCTAACACAGAATTGCCATAGATGTAACTTTCATTCTCTAAAATATTTTCTTCAAACCAGAATTAGACATGAGTGATCACTTAAACCAACCACAGCTTTTCACAAATGAGGAAAGACAAATATAGTGAAGTTAATTAGACTGATGGAGGTCAGAGTTCTAGCTACAGCCAGGATGTAGAACCTGGTACCTCTGATTTCTGGGCCAACACTCTATGAACTGTCCTGCCTTGCTAAAGAGGATAATTACTGCCATTTCATTTATTCACATTGTAAAGCCGTTTGCTGTCATCCCCTATAACTCGCTTCTCCTTCTCTCTCCTTGTACAGCATCGCCATGCATCCGCGCAAAGAAATCTTAGTGTCATGTGGCGAGGACCGCCTCTGGAAGTTGGTGGGCCTCCCAGAAGGCATAGTGCTTCTTACTGGATTGGGCCACACAGACTGGATTTCCGACTGTTGCTTCCATCCCAGGTCAGTACACTCAACTTCCTGGGCGAGTCTAATCCCTCCAGGGAAAGCGCTTGTTTGCTTCTTCCTCTCAGCTGGATTTGAGGAAGCTTTTCTCTCTGCAACACCACACCCTCCACTGAGTCTCTAAACATGTAGATAAACGTTCCTTTGGTTTTCATTATATTGACTTTAGATTGATTGCTTTTGGTATTTGGTATATGTATCACTTAGTCCACATGCTGATGCATTTAACAAGAGTAATAAGCTTCCTAGGACAAGCCTTGTTAATGTTCTTTGTGCTCACAAACTCTGACAAGGCACACAGATTTCTAGTCAATAATGCATGCCGGTGTTTACTTTGCCTCTGTCAATCTTGCAGATTTTCCCTTTAAAATTAAGTTATCTACCAAAAAGGATCAGAAGGCAGTGATCAATTTTTTTAAAAATTCAGTGACACTCGAGATATTAGAAAGAACAAAGCATTACTGAAAGCACTGAGCCCCGTGATTTTTAAAAGTCACTGAATTTTTGTGCCCAAAAGACCAAGGGCACGGAGGGAAGAAAATTGTTAAACATCATACTTCACATTTGTAGCATTCTTGGATCTGACTTTTTTCTAATACTCTCTGGCCTAATCACTTTTGGTGACCCATCATTCTTGTGCAGTTTCTAAGCTGTTCCATGGGGACACAAAAGTCTTTTTCCTTCCCTACCTCCCCCCAGCACACAGAACAAATGCCTTTTGATTCTGAATCTTAAGAAGTTAGTCAGGAAAACAAAACAGAGAGAGGAGACCTCTTAAATCAGGATTTCTGAGGTTTATGTCAAAGTTGATAGCATTTCCCATCCATCTTTAGCTTAGCAGCCAAAGATAATGCCCTATTGTCTGTAAACTTAATCATACCCAATCTCTGAACCAATAAGGCCTCCCCTAGAGTGTATATTATTTTATTTACTCCCCTTAAGAAGGTGGACGCCAGGAATAGGTTACTACTTCCATATCCAATGTGTTCAGCCATCAATCACCTCCTCTAAGAATCTTTCCTGAACATGTTTGGGTTAGTATCTGTCCTGGGTGAACTCCGAACCCCTTGGCCAACCACAATCCTTGAAGGCAGTAGGACATACTAATAAAGCTTGTGGGCTTTGACATCACACAAACCTAAGTTTTTATCTCAAGACTACCACATAATAGCATATGACCTTTGGTCCCTAGCATCCCCATCTATAAAATGAAGGTAAGAAAGAATTCACATGACAAGCCTGTTGTAAAACTTAACACATCCTATTGCAAACATGTATTTCCTTGTATATTTCTCTACCACCCTCTAAAAATCTCGAGGGTGATAATTCTTACTTCCTTACACAATGGTGGGTATATAATATGTGCTCAATTAATATCTGTCTAATAATTTTAAAATAATTAATATAGCTGGAAGAATCTAGTGTGTTCTGAGGCGAGAACCCTACTAATATTTACAAAATATTATTTAAAAAATAATAACTTTTTTTAAATTTAATTTTATTTGCTAATCATTTAACTTTAATAGACAAAGTTCTGCTGTATTATGTTTTCATCTTGGTTATTATACATGTCTATCTTAACAAATTTTGGCAAATTTTATATCTCATATATTTTGACCAAGCTTTTCAGTGATTCAACAACTTAAAAATATTCTTAATGTTCTAATAAGTATCTAGTGCCCTTATACTTCCCCCCAAGGCAACTTGCAATAGATTTTATCTAGATTAACTCTGTAATTAAAAAAAAAAAAATCTACTGCTTTGGATGAATGCTATTATTAATTCTGGTGGGTCGTTAGCCACAATATCAGCCTGTAAGTCACCATTGCCATTTTATATATGTATATATAAAATAGATTATTACATATTCAAACATGTAATTCTAATTATATATGTGTGTGTGTGTGTGTGTGTGTGTGTATGGAGCCGTGGTGGTGCAGTAGTTAAGAGCTCAAGCTGCTAACCAAAGGTCGGCAGTTTGAATCCACCAGCTGCTCCTTAGAAACCCTATGGGGCAGTTCTACTCTGCCTTATAGGGTTGCTATGAGTCAGAATATATATATATATTTCAAATAATTTCCTACAATTTTTGTTCTTAGGAAAACTATTTAGCTTCATGTTTGCATAAAATTCCTTATTTATTTATTTTTTTAGCCATCTTTGTCTTATCTTTGGTATAAATATCAATGGAATTAGAGTGAAAAAATAAATTATTTGGAAATCACTAGTTACAGAGAAGAGAGAACTAAGTTTTCGTTTATTTTTGATATTTTTTAAAATCATTGCAAAATATAATTTGTCTTTGGTACTAGATGTTTGAACTGAATGCATGAACATCTAGTGAATACCATATCTGGCCTATAGATAAACATAGCTGTGGCACCCTCTCACCTCTTAGCAACAAAAGTCCATCCTGCAAGCAGAGACAGCACAATTAGAAGTGCAGGCTATCACTTACGTAGCTGCTGGGCATACTAATCAGATTTCGATAATGCCACGTTACTATGGCACCCAGTGAATCAGAGATTTTCTCATTAGTGTTTGACCAGCACACAGACCTTTTAATAGAGCTTTCTGTTTTCCCACTCAATTACTGAAATTAAAATAAGGTGAGATACATCATTATTCACTCATAATATGAATTTACATTTTGTAGGTTCTTATGGCAGAATTGTAGTAAAATGCGGCTATGCTACTTGCTTTCTTTTACTTCATAGAATAAAAATAATGGGAGAAAATGCATTTAACCATAAGTGATTTTAAGTGTGAACTATCAAATAACAAATGTTCTATTTGTAGAATTAATAAAAAGAAAAATGATCATTAGAAATAACAACAAAAATACCTTTTTTGAGGTAAAGATATCAATTCTGAAAGTTTATATTTCAGATCTTAAATGTCTTATAATGCTTCATGTTTGTAAATTATGTGTGTATATGTAGTGCTGATAATGTTGGTGTCTTAAAAAGAGCAAACATTGCTGAAATTCATGTTTTGTGAAATTTAAATTTGTGATATTTGATTTTCAGTTTGGCTTTTGTAATTTGGTCAGAAAAAAATAGTTCATTATTAAAGATACTCTTTTCCCTCTCTATATATAGCCTTCATTTATAATTTAGAAATCAAACATAAAACAATTTGAATTCAAATGTGATACATTTATCTGTAGCTGGATCTTCATTTAATAAATGCAATCATAATCTTCCTCAGAGCCAAAGTATGAAATCAAGTTGATTCTCCTTTCTTGGAAGACTTCCAGGGTGGACATAGTATATACTGATACCTACTTACTTCCTTAATGCTCATCACATAAGAAAAATTAATGCCTACATTTCTTTATTTTATTTTTAATTTCAGTCACTCTTAGTTGAGAGTTTTCTGTAACTTCCAGTTGGATTTGTTCCTGATTACTACCATAGCCAAACAGTGCGAGCACTGTCTCTTCTACCATGGTGTCGTCACCCAGATTTTTTTTGGGAGCCAATCCTTCTCAATATGACTGTTAAACGTTGACTGACCCAAGTCAGTCTCTGTTGTTCTCTTCCTCTTGCCATACCAGACAGCTCAAATACAGAAACAACAAATATAACAAGTATAACAGTATTAATATTAGGCAAAGGAGGATTTATAGGTAAAAAATAAACTGAGAGGGTAACTGTCACTTGAGGGATTTAGATAAAATGATGTTGAAATACATAAAACAAAAGATCTTATAAATACAAGAAGATACTGACAAAATCATTATCATCAGAGTTAAAGTTTTCAGAGTACCTTTTTTCAGCTTTTGATCTGTCAGTTAAACTGGAATTAGAGGAATGACACTGGAATTAGAGAAGTTAATAGTATAATTAGTAAGTATATTTAATAGCACATATTGAAATCTATACTTCATGAAGGGAAAATAGATTCTTTAAAATCATTCATAGTAAGATTTTTAAAAATGCATAAATCTTCCACCAATGATATAGCATAAATGAGTTCCTTAAAGTAGAAATTGTACAAACCATATTTATGACCAATATTCAATAATAAAAACAAATGATAAGAAATTAATAACTAAAATATAATAAACCCTGGACTATTAAAAAGTATATGCATTAATATTTGGTCAAAGAAAACTCTAAAGTGTTATTACAACGTAGTTGGAAAACAATCTCAACCATACTACTTATCAAATTATGGGTGTAACCAAAGCTGTATATAGAATAACATTCATAGCTTTAAATGCTATATTATTAAATAAGAAAAAATAAAAATAAGTGAATTATAAATTCAAATTAAAATGAAAAATCGGCAACAAAATATAGAAATCAGAGAAATGAATTATCAATAAAAAGCAGAATTAATAAATTAGAATTAAAAAGAATAGATACATTATTATAAAAGTTGTCTTTTATGAGAAAAAATATTAAAAAAAACAAGGAACTGCAATAAAATAGGAATAAATAGATATCTTGAGAAACTAGTGAAAAATAAAAGAGAGGATGCAGAAATATAAACTTTAGTAATTTGGAGGGAGTCAGAGCTACATATACAGAGACTGAAATATACGTTTGGGATTTTTGATGAAATAATGAATTTCTATGAAAATAATGAAGATTATAAATATTGACTCAATATGGTACATAAACCTATAACAGATTAATATGAGTGGAAGCAACTGAGTTTTTAAAGTTCTACCTTGCATCCTTATCTTTAGCAGTATTATGGCAGAGTTTTAAAAATCTTATTAAAAAAAAAACAGATAATATCTAGGTTAGTTATATTTCCAGAGAAATTTAGTTAGAGGAATGACACTGAGAACAGGGAAAATAAAAAGTGAATTTTATTATTGGTTTTAAAAATGTAGCATTAACATGATGCCAAACCTAACAAGTATAGTACCTTCATAAGAACTAGAGGCCTATTGCAAAATTACAGATGAAAAAACTTTTAAAGAGAATGTAGAAAATGGAATTCAGTCATGAGTTTAAAAAGAGCTATATATTATGATCAAT